GACGAACTCACAAGACACACACACACACACACACACACACGCACATACATACAAACACACACACACACACACACACACACATACATACCTCGGTGTCCCAGAGGTCAAAGGTGGAGATGTTCCCGTTGAATGCCACGCGGTTGTCTCGACCGAGTGCGCGCCAAAGTGCTTGAGACCTAAACGCGATGGAGCGGTGACAGCAGTGTGAATGACACGACCGCCATCAAGTGCAAAAGAGGAGGCGTTGCTGACACGGTTGTGGGCGTTTGCATACACATGTGTGTGTGAGGTTGGATGCGTGTGTGTACCTGCTGCCATTTTCTTGTACTTCCTGTCTGGGCCGTCCTAGCAGCCCGTCACGTAAGCAGCAGCGTACTCGCTGCTAAAGCACGGGGTCTCAGAGGTTGAGAAGGGTGCAGTGAATGTCAGGGAGGATGGGTCTGCAAAGGGAGTGTGTGAGTGAGTGGTGTGAGTGGGTGTGAAGGGCATTGGGGGCGTGAGTGTGACTGCTGTAGAGTGATCGCATGTGTGTGATGTGTGCACCAGCGTCAGCAACACGTGATGAAGGGGGCACCTGTAAGTCCGATCTTCTGCAAGACGCTGCCGCCCCTGTGCCAGTTGAGATTGTTGAAGGCGCGCATCTCCGTGGATATGACCTGGAAGCGAAGGACCAGTGGCGGGACGAGGACGGAGGGCATGAACGACAGGAGCTTTGATCAAGAAGAAGAAGCCGACATAGCAGACGTAGACACACACACACACACACACACACACACACACACACACACACACACACACTCGGTTGACGGCTGCGCCGAGACCGTTGGATCCAATGAAGGTGGTGGCACACTTGTCCTGGCTAGTGATGCACGCAGAGGCAACGGCCGTGTTCGTCTCCACCAGATGCAGATACGGCGGGATGTCAAGCCTGCACCCATGCACACACACACATGCAAGCATGAAGAGGAAGGTGGTGTGGCCGTGTGAGCAATGGTGGTGGTGGTTGATGCCGCTGTGGCACGAAGAAGCGGGAGAGAAACACAAGCAGACAGAGTTACGAGTCACTGCGTGGGCGCTGCATGTCCTTTCCCACCTCTTGACGCCGTAGTCAAGGAAGGCGCATGGGCTGGTGACGGGATCGGGGCCAATGAGACCGGCCATCTCCTGAAGACTGAGGCGTCCAATGAGGTCGTCGAGGCGGGCACCGATGGACAGACTCGTGTTGCAGAACGGCAACTCCTTCGTCGCTGCAGACAGGCACGCATGGCCTGACGAGGCAAAATACAACAGCAGACACGTATGAGCTGAGAGAGAGGGTGTGTGTTGTGTGTGTGTGTGTGTGTGTGTGTGTGGTTGTGTTGTGTGTTGTGTGTGTGTGTGATTGCTGTGGTGTGTGTGTTGGGATCACCTGTCGGAACGGGTGTGCCGTAACAGTTTGCCCGGATGATATTCATGCGATTGGCTGCTCCACACATCTCGGTCGCAGCGCCCGTGCATGGTTCGTTGCAGTCGGAGGAAGGCTGCACAAAAGTGTGTGTGTGCTGGGTGGGGGAGGGTGAATGCTGGTCGCGTACATTAATGTGTGCACCACACACACACACACACACACACACACAGACACACACACACACAGACACACACACACAGACACAGACACACAGACACACACACACACACACACACACACACACACACACACACACACACACACACACACACGTACCGCTGCGACTGCGCGGTGAAATTCAGCTTGGGTGTTTGCAGCAGAAGGAGCAATTGGTAGCCGTACTCAACGGCGCTGAGGGAAAGAACAGTTGAAGGTGTGGCAGAGCGTGGCACACGCCTCACGCGTCATGGACGTCTGCGCCATGTTGCCAACAAACGCAAACGTCTGATTGTCAGCGCGGTGTGTGCAAGTGTGCGTGTGTGTATGTGGAGGGGGGGGGAAGAGGTGTTGGTACGCGAGTGCAGCGATGGGACGAGGGGATGGAGACACAACTCGTTTCACACACACACACACACACACACACACACCTTGATCTTGGTGCACTGAACTTGAGCTTGGACGACGCTCGCCACAGTGGCTGAACAGCACACACAGCACACAGCCACCAACCCCAACAGCAGCGCTGTCACTGCCGTTGCACGCATCTTCCTTTTTGTCTTCTTCCACAAAACACAAACACAAACAGAATTGTGCCGAGTCAGCACTTTCTGCTTTGTTGTTGAAAGGGTTCACTGCTGTGATGGAAGGCGCACACACAGACACGCACAAGCACGCACAGACACGCACATGCACGCACACGCAGAGGCGAACGGCTTGACAGGAGCAGTGCTCTGCGTGGAGGAACGACAGGGAATGGGGTAACAACTGCTGTGCTGCTTACAACCGGGACAAAAGCACGACAAGTGCATGGCAAGCCAGCCAGCAGGCAGGCAGTGAACA